ACATTGGTTAACAACCCCACAACATGTCAACCCTCTAACTTCTCAACCTTTTTTTTTGGTGAAAATACACATAGCCAAAGATACACCAATTCAAAAATTTCTACATGCACAGTTCAGTGACATTGACTACGCTCTTCTGATTGTGCTGTTATTCTCACTTAAGATGAAGGCTTCCAGAACAAAATAGTTTCTCATTTAACAGTTACTATAAATGTTGCCCTATGAAAATCTCACAACACATCAACAATATCCTTACTCAGCTTTGGGTTCCCTATCACTGGCTTCCTTGTCCCCTTCTGCCTTCTGGCCCTTGTCACTGGACTACTGTACCTCGTTAGTCTCATTTGGTTTTACGGGGCTGTCCACTCCCAGGCTGAATGGCGAACCTTGGAGATAACTTTACCACTGAGCTAAAAGGGTGTCTGGGGGCCGGGAGTTTCTGTTTCTTGAAGCTGTCTGTTGTTATTGTTAGGTGCCCGTGAGTCAGTTCCAACTCACAGTGACAAAATGAAACACTACCCTGTCATGTGCCATCCTCACAATCGTTGCTATGTTTGAGCCCATTGTTGCAGCTACTGTGTCAATCCATCTTGTTGAGCGTCTTCCTCTTTCTCCTTGACCCTCTACTCCATCAAGCATGATGTCCTTCTGCAGGGACTAGTCCCTCCTGGTAACGTGTCCAAAGTACGTAAGATGCAGTCTTACCATCCTCGCTTCTTAGAAGCATTCTGGCTGGACTTTTTCCAAGACAGATTTGTTTGTTTTTCTGGTAGTCCAAGGTGTATTCAATATTCTTCGCCAACACCGTAATTCAAAGGCATCAATCTATCAACATAGATAATTTTTGAAACAGCACAACACCCAAAGCAAAATGGTCTTCACTAAGCTACTTATGTTCTGTGTGTTTCTATAAACAAACAAAAAAAAAAACCAAACCCGTTGCCATCGAGTCAATTCCGACTCATAGCGACCCTATAGGTCAGAGTATAACCGCCCCATAGGGTTTCCAAGGAGCAGCTGGTGAATTCAAACCGCTGACCTTTTGGTTAGCAGCCAAACACTTAACCGCTATGCCACCAGGGCTCTATGTATTTTTCTATAATGCTCTCAAACCCCATAAGGTATGTCACTATTGTGCTTCCAAAGTACATATGTATAAGCACTTATAATATGAACTTAAAAACAGAAATATATCTACCTTTGTGAGGTTCTCTAACATTAACCATAGGCCATTAGAAACCTGTTAACTAATGAGAAAGTTATTGAGAAAAATTTTGAACTTAGACATAGAAATATAGAAGCATGTGAAGTACGTAAAGACTGTAAAACAAGCTTTAAACTGACTTGACCTGACATGCTGTGATAAAGAAGACATTACATAGTTAATGTTTGTAAGCTAGCATAGAGACATAAGTCTAAACCTCTCTAATCTCTAACCAGGAGCCCTGGTGGTGCAGTGGTTAAGTGCTAAGCTGCTAACCAAAAGATCTGTGGTTAGAACCCATCAGCCTCTCCCTGGATCAAAGATGTGGCAGTCTGCTTCCATGAAGATTACAGCCTTGGAAACCCTATGGGGCAGTTCTACTCTGTCCTGTAGGGTCCCTATGAGTCGGAATCGACGAGACAGCAATGGGTTTAGTTTTTTAATCTCTAACCTTGAAGAAAAGATGTGTCATTTGGCTCATCTTTAACCCTGGAGAAAAGATATATGACATACTCGAGATGTCACATGGGCTCTTATTGTGTGAGGCCAAGGGGAGAATTTCAGATTTAAACCCTAAATTTCTGCTCACTTACTAAGAGAAGGCAGAGGCAAACATCGAGAGCCTGCTGAGACTCTGCCTACTGCTGCTCACAGTGGAACCCAGCTATGAGGGCCCTCTGCTGAGTTTGAGCCGTGGTCAAGCCTTGCTCCCCAGACCTCTCGTTAAAGGTAAAAAAGATTTGGACTCTAACCATTAAACTAACATTGTAATTGTTAATTCGGATTCTCTGATTCTAAATGAATGCTGTGAGATCTTATTTGTGCGTCTTGCCATGACTACCTCACAATAAACTAAACCGGTTTATGCATGATAAACCTGAGTATCTCTCTACTAATTTTCTAAGATAAAATCCTACGCGACAATTGGCAAAGTTGGCAGTGATTATCTCTGATTAATTATTGGTTACACCACTACTTACTAGGCTATTGTTTGACTTAAAGGTGACTTTAGGAAACTATTTTTCTCAAGGCTCAAGGTTGAAAGAAGATCTCAGGGCCTTGGTGGATCACCCCAACTCCATGGACCCCAGAAATCTGAATTCCAGGAGAAGAAAAAACTGTTTCTCAGCAGTAAACTCTAACTACCAAAAAGGAAAAGTAAATGCTTTTAGTAATTCAAAGAAAGGAGAGAGGTTGTTTTGACCTGGGGTGCTTAGGTAAGGGTTTCTTGAGGGAGCACGGATAAATAAGGCCTAAAATAATAAAGTAACAGGTATTGACCTTTACTATGTGCTATGTACCACACCAAGGACTTTATGTGCATTATATCATGTAATTATGTAACAACTTCTGAGGTAGGTAGGTGTCATTAGCCTTACAGTACATATGAAGCTCCAAGAGGTAAAGAGATTTGTCCAAGCTCAACCAGCAAGTCAGCAGAGGAGGTGGGATTTGCCCTCAGGTAGTCAGACACTGGTAGGCTGGTAACTGAAAGTTTGGCTGTTGGAACCCACCGGACGGCTACATGGAAAAAAAGGCCTGTTGGTCTGCTTCCATAAAGATGACAGTCAAGAAAGCCTTATGGAGTTCAATTCTACTCTGTACCGCTTGGGGTCACCATGAGTTGGAATCAACTTGATGGCACAACAACAACAGTCTGACGTCAGAACTATGCTCCTAACCATTAAATTGCACTGGTCTAGTCCTTGGGAATGGTGAATTGCCAGACGAGCTGGGCTGGAGCAGGGGGCTGTTGCCTAGGGGCAGTGGGAGATAAAGCTGGGAATGCTTTTTGGAGTCAGACAGCTAATTTCTCAGAAATTACATGCTCAAAGAGATTAAACTTCTAGAAAGGTGGATCTTGTGCCAATGGGTAGGATGAAACTGGTGAGTGAGACTGGAGTCTGGGAAATGGGTTGAAAAAAAAACAAGTTGCTGTCAAGTCGATTCTAACTCATGGTGACCCCTTTGTGTGTCAGAGAAGAACTGTACTCCATAGGGTTTTCAATGGCTGCCTTTTTGGAAGTAGATTTCCAGGGCTTTCATCCAAGACACTTTTGGGTGGACTTGAACCTCCAATGTTTCTGTTAGCAGCCAAGCATGTTGTTTGCACCACCCAGGGACTCCAGAAAATGGATTAGAAAGTGTGGATGCTTGGATGTGCTCCCTGGTATTTGGGTTGGGAGCTACATAGGGCATGTCTTAGGAAATGGTCACAGTATACTATAAGACAGTGTATGGGTAAGTGTCAAAATATATACCAATGAAATAAATCATATGTAGTACTCTTAGCACAGTGCTTGGCACAGCGTAACCACATAATAAACAAATCTCTTATATTGTCAACAAAAAGAGAAGATGCTGTGGTGGTTGGGAAAAGCTAATTTCAATTACACAA